TCTTCCTTGGAGATTTCAACAGGGCGTAATTCGACGGTGACACACGTCAGATTGTTACCGTTATAACATTAGCGACGCTGAACTCGTCGTTACAGCACAGTATATTTGGCCTTACGCCATATTCCACAGAAATTACGGTTAGGCTTAATGGTTAGGTTTAAGGTTGGAATTAAGGTCAGAGTTGGGGCTAGAGACCAAATTGTATTAAGGGTTAAGGTTTGGGTTACTGCTAAGTGTTTGGTTTCGGTTTAGGATACGCTTAGGGCTGAGATGGAGGTTACAGTTTAGTTCGGTTTTTAGAATTAGTGTATGAGTTATGGCATGGGAATATGTAGTCCTCCTTTTCCCGTCTCCTGTGTAGGCAGCCATAGAAGTCATCCTTACCTCTAGTTTTAAGTGCCTTCCTAAAGTAATTGCAAAAGGTGCATGCTAAGTCTTCCTAAAAAAGGCTATTTAGCACGGAAGTAAAACCAAGTATAATACGTTGGCACTGAAAATTTTAACAGGACTGAGCCTAGCGATTCTTTAGTGGGAAGACGTCCATAAGTTTAAAATCACTCAATTTGAAAGCATAATAAACCAACCATACCTAAAGCAAACAAGTGAACGATGGCTCGAATAATCAGTCGCGCTAATTATTTGAACTGTTTTTCTTCCACTTAAACTAAAGCCAGTAACGGGACAGACTATTTAGAGGAATGACCTTACCGTAGCTTCTGTATGTACTGTTCTGATTATTATTGTTTTCTATAAAATTTCAGCGCTGTTATTCGACGAGTCTTAGTCTAGCGAGGTTGCACATTCCAAAAGCGTTAAGTCCAGAACAATTCATAGTTTTAGTCCTGATTGCTCATTGTTGTGGAATGCCCCGACACGCGAACCACTATCTGACCGAGACGAAGACGACCCGATCGTTGGGACAATACTTTCATTCGCCTGACGTTTCGAGATCCGTCATGGATTCGTCATCAGAGACATAATCAGAGAACAGTAGAAGAAACGGGTAGCTTATGCACAGGAGTTTGCAGTATTTATAGGATACAGTCCTCACTGCAAACAGCTACAATTAACGTTAATTGCCCTCGCGAAAGTTGATAGTTTGTTGTTACGGGTTCTGACCTGCTGAACATTCATCACGCGTGGTGGACTCGGGCGTGATGATTGCTCGGCCATCTGTTCCTTCGGTGTTGACGTAGTATGACACGGTGGCATGTCCGTTGCCCAAGTGGCGACTTGCTTTGGCCATATTGAGTCTCAGCACCGAATATGGATACGGCAAATCATTGCACTTGTTTATGAATTGGGGGCCCATGAACCATGACTCAAGTAATTCTCGGCTCACCCGATTGTCACCTCTTGCGAG